TTTTGTTTGTTTTTTAAAAAAGTACACTTTTTAATTTTGTATGGACCTAATTTATCGGTCCAATTTCAGAACGTTCTGTCACATGAAAAAACAAGAACTACCGTGCACTCATTTAATACATTAGAGCATCAGAATAGTTAGGAAATTGAAAGTAGGGCAAAAGCCAGAATGAATATTTGGTAGAATGCTAAAATCCACAGTCTGATCTCTTCTGTTTCTGCTTTTCTCACATCTAATGTATGAAATGAAACTGCAAGCAAGTTTAGATTCACAGTAAGTCTTTCTACTAGCATGCCTGAAATATGTGTTAAGTTTATCGAAAATGATGCACTGTTGCAAACTGTTCATGGAAATTGTCTGTTTTCTTCTTTATTCTTCCTCTGCTGTTCTTTACACCTTCCATTACATCCCATCTACACATAAACATTTATTTTTAAAAACGGTATATAATGAGATACTTTATATTTGGAAAGTGGATAGTTAGTCTTTGCTTCTTTATAATCTACGTGTAATTCATTGAGAATTCACTAACTAAATGTAATTTCTTGAAACAATATATTAGTATTTACCCATTCTTTCTTACAATTCTTTCAAGTGTTGGTCAACTCAATCAAACTTGGAAATCAGTTATAATTCTCATGAAACCTCATGTTTTTCCTCACTTGAATAAGGACTTGTTTTTCTTTATATGTGCATGCCAGGTGTGCATTAGAGTAATGGAAGTTTTGCACTGGATACTGTTTAGAAGGGAATTTCTGTGTATTTTAACCAATTTTTTGCTTTCTATATATACCAGTATATACTCGATGAGGGCATCGAGTGCACCCTCAGTAAATTCGCAGATGACACCAAATTGGCTGGAAGTGTGGATCTGCCTGGGGGTGGCGAGGCCCTACAGAGGGATCTGGACAGGCTGGAGAGCTGGGCTGAAGCCAATGGGATGAGTTTCAACAAGGCCAAATGCCGGGTCCTGCACTTCGGCTACAACAACCCCAGGCGACGCTACAGGCTTGGGGCGGTGTGGCTGGAGGACTGCGTAGAGGAAATGGACCTGGGGGTATTGATTGATGCTCGGCTGAACATGAGCCGACAGTGTGCCCAGGTGGCCAAGAAGGCCAATGGCATCCTGGCTTGCATCAGAAACAGCGTTGCAAGCAGGAGCAGAGAGGTGATTGTTCCCCTATATTCAGCACTGGTGAGGCCGCACCTCGAGTACTGTGTCCAGTTTTGGGCCCCTCACTGCAAGAAAGATATTGAGGCCCTGGAACGTGTTCAAAGGAGGGCAACAAAGCTGGTGAGGGGTCTGGAACACAGGGCTGATGAGGAGAGGCTGAAGGAGCTGGGAATGTTCAGCCTGGAGAAGAGGAGGCTCAGGGGAGACCTCATTGCTCTCCATAACTTCCTGAAGGGAGGTTGTAGTGAGCTGGGGGTCGGTCTCTTCTCTCTTGTCATTAGTGATAGGACCAGAGGGAATGGTTTCAAGCTACGGCAGGGGAGATTCAGGCTGGACATGAGGAGGTATTACTTTTCAGAAAGGGTGGTCAGGCACTGGAATGGACTGCCCAGGGAGGTGGTGGAGTCACCGACCCTGGGGGTGTTCAAGGAAAGGCTGGATGTTGTGTTGAGGGACATGGTTTAGTGGGAGCTATTGGGAATAGGTGAACGGTGGGACTGGATGATCTTTTAGGTCTTTTCCAACCTTGGTGATTCTATGATTCTATGATTCTATGATATTCTATAAATATACTGGTTGCTAACTTTTGCCCCGCAAACTTCTATGTATGCATTAATGATAATGCTACTATCAACCCTACTTTGCTAAGAAGGAAAAGAAGAGAGGCGAATGATATCAGTGGCTTTCCTGAAGGCTATGTATTATGCTTTATTGCTCTATTCATACCACTTCATCTATAGCTGTCAATGGTTTGCAGGCTGGTTCAACCCGGTTCTGTGCCTAGCGGGGCGGAGGGAATCTGCGCCTCCAGAAAAGGAAAACAGGGAACCCCAAAATAATTGAAAGCAGCAGCAACAATCTGAGCTGAAATAAACTGATTTACTAAATATAGTGTGAGAATGCAAGCTAATGCGATATAATGGAATTGAAGCTAATAAATCAAAATATAATGAGAGAGGGAGTGTGTCCGAAAGGTGGATAGGCCTCACCCCAATGCTGAGGTGAGAAATGCAGTCCGGATGAGCCGATGAAGAAAAGCAGATGGAGAAGAGCAGCCAAAGAAGCGCATGCAAAGAAAAGAGCATCAGATGGCCTTGCCAGCAGTTCTATCTCCTTGCTGACCGCAAAGCCCCCTGGGGAATGTAGTTCTCCTTCTCCTCCAGACAGGCACCTAGAACTTGAGCATCAACAGCCAAACCCCCAGTGCATTACATGATGTTATGATGTGGAATACCGATAACCAAAAATCGTAAAACCATGACAATAGCTAAGAGTCAGTGTCCTCTTTTGTGTAGTTTCCATATGTCAATTACATGTACATACAGATAGAGAGGTGTATGATTCTATGTGTGATTCTGTGTAAGCTATGTATGTGCACACATGGAAATGTAGTTATAATTTGATGGAATTTGTAAGTTATCTTGTATGAATTAAAGAATAATTTCTTTACAAGTCAGTTGTAGATCTAGCTAGAGCTTTAAACTTTTACTAAGGTTTCCTGAATTAATATTCTTTGAAATTAAAGTAGGCATTAGATTCTTTCAATGTAAATAAGGAACTAAGAATGGTTTATTTTGCCTTCCTTTTAACAAATCGCAGCAGAACTGTTTTCCCAAAGTCCCATAATGGAACTCTGAATGCATAGCTTAATCATAGATGGATTCAGGCAAGAAAGAAAAACAAAACAAAAGCACCTCATTAAGTATCCGAGAACAGAGTTATTACATAAGCAGAAACCTCTTGGGTATTGGTAGTTTTAAAATGCCAAATGATCTTTTAAATTTCAGGTATGCCCTTCAATTTTTTTCTTTTTTTTTTTTTTTACTTCATTACATCAGTTAGTATTTATAGTAGTTGAATGACTATGCATGAAAGATAATCTATGGCCTTAGATTGTTTCTGCATGTGTCCTCTTGCTTCATCAGAAGTCCCATATTTCTAATAATTCTGTCCTGTTTAACAGCACACTAAGTCCCTTGTGTCACAGCACAGAACAAAGGAAACTGTTAAAGCCCACTGCATTAAAGCAATTTGTTGCAGGTTTGATAACGTAAAAGAACTCTCTGTGTCTGATTATAGTTTCTTCAACATCACTTCAGTCTCTGTTTCCAATGCTCATCTAAATGGATTCCTATATCTTCTTTATTATCACTTAGTATAAAGATTTGATTCTATCATAATTTCTTTCTAGCACTGCTGCTTTGCTTTTCTAGCCAGTAATTTTTTGTCAGTGGTGACGAGAGAATAAAAAGCTATAATCCCATGTCTCTAACTGTGTGGCCTTTAACAAGTGTCAAAAATTTACTAGTCTCCTGAGGTTGCTTTTGAACCTAAATCACTGTGTGACAGCAATCTGTGGAAAACAAAGTAAAATCTCTTCGAGTAGTTGCATTTGTAAAAATGGTAATTATCACCAATCTACTCTTGTGTCTCAAGCCCCAAACAATTCCTGGGAGTTACTGGAAAATAAATATACATATAAGACATTTTTGAAAGAGAAAGATCCTTAATTACTGGTCCTGTTCAATAAAAAAATAAAATGTGACGTTGAAAAGTGAGGTACAGTCTGATTCATATCGATGGCTAGCTTCACTGGATTCCAACTTAAATTTTTATTCTTAAGCCTTTAACAACAATAGCTATTAAGAAATGTATTATAGATACTTAACGATGATCAGTATGTGCACATGAAATACTTCCTAGATATAAAAAATGAATATGATTATTCATGCAAAGATACTTAATAAGTAATATTGAAACCGGAAATTTCTGTACTAGGTACATCTTTTCAGAGTGCATTTCAGGTATCAGTTAGTTTCCATTTATAAATACTGCTGCTGGCAGTAGATGCAAGTATGCTTGATGTGTGCTTATGTGTATATCTTTACCTGTATCTATTTGTATTTATATATCTAGCTTCATAGACAGAATATAAAAAAGGAGTATTTCCAACCCATAATGGCCTATGCAGAAATTGAGAGTAAGAGGGGAGAATATTTTTTATACGAGTACATGTCAGAATCAGAATAAATTTCAGATAAGTAGATAGTACTTTTATTAGATGTTGTATGTAGTGCATTGTTTTTTTTCTATGTTCCTGCATACCTTTTTTTTTATATAACTTTGTTACTTCTCTGAGAGAACGGGTAAAATATGTGTGAATTTAAAATGAATTGCAAGCAAATATTGTTTAAAGCAGGGCTAAGATATTTATTCTACATGATGCAATTATGTGGTCTTATTTGTAGATCTGCAGATGGACTAAAAATGGTATTGATGAAAGTCTTTTCCTCATGGTTTTTTTTTTAAATCTTCCACTATTAGAAAGGCTGCTCTAGCAGTAATGCTTTGCCAGCATGCACTTGTACCAAATTCTCTTTTAGTCTTGATAACTAGATAAGCCACAAAAGCTTTCTTACTCTCATTTTAATCCTGGATTAAAATGCTGGTTTTGGATCTGATGTTACACGTCATAGATATTTTCATTTCATGTGCAAATTTCTGAAGACTAATTTTAAACTTGCTGTATTTCAAGAAATAGAAATGGGTTAAAAAAAAAAAAAAGCAGGAATTACATATAATGCAAATTAAATAGATAGTACATATTTTGTCACCTGACTACTCTTAAATCTCTTCTGAGAGTATAGTGAATACAAGTGTTATGGGTAATCCTGGCCTTTGCTTCACCACGCTCTTTGTTGGGATAACAGCGTTCTGTGTTTATTCATTGAGCCATATGAAGTATTTGTAAATAGGTCACACAGTCATTAAAGGACTGACAACTTGGCTTACTTAACATTTTTCTTTTTTCCACCCTCAATTCTAGGAAGGATTTCTGTGTACATAAAGACGAACCATGTGATACTGTTGGTAAGTAAATATATGTAAGAAACTGTGTGTATAGACCATGTCATAAAGTGAGCATTAGATAAATACGTATGTGAAGCTATACTATGTCAACAGCATTTTTGGTGAGTAGCTGTAACTAGGTAAAATGAAGATGTCTAAAATACTAAGTTATAGTTTGTTAGATATATGCAAATAGTTAGGTACACAATTATTTGTTGTATATCCCTCTAAATAGTGTTAAAGTACAGTATTTCTATCTCATTTTTTAACAAACTCCTTGTATATTTTTTCTTTTCAAACTCAATTTAAGAAGAAATTGTAGTATTCTTAATTGACAGTCACAATTGAAAGGAGATTGTGTATATGTATAAAGTATAGGATGCTTTTAAATGGAATAGATTTATCTTTGCTGAGAGTATGTAGATTTTAATCTTCTATAGTAATGCACTTGGATAATACAGTGTTTATGAACTATGTAACTGTTCAGAAACAAAAAATGTACTATTTTGGAAAGCATCTGGTATCTACAATTAAAATTAGTACTAGATGCACTGAGGTCTTCTCACAACGTAATCAGCGCCTTTTGGGAAGACATATTTTCAGTATAAATGTATGGTGGAAAAGGCAATTCAGGCTTAGTACTGGTTAAAAACACTAGATGAAGCATGCCATGGCACGTTTTTATCCTAGAATTTCATTTGGCTGATAGAAAATTATTTGTTTTGTGTATAAATACAAGTATTCAGAACCTAAATTGTTTCGATAAGATTAGAATTTTATGGATAACAGTAATGGACTATTAACTATTTTCTTGCTTGCCATCCCTCATTTTTTTTAATCATCCCAAGTCTATGCAAGTATGTCTGTAAGATGGATATCAGTTAAAAATTTTTCTAAATAAGGAATTGAGTGTTTCTTGTGTCAGCTATTGATTAAAAATGCATAGTGTTATTTCACAAACTGGTATCTTGCTCTTAGGTGAATTTTTGTGAGTACTTGATGCACATAGATCAGTTCTTTTTGTCCTATAAGTGGAAAAAAAATCCTCTTTGCATTTGAGATAAATGATCTGATTAGGAAAGTCTTCAGCAACTTATGCTTATTTAAGTTGAAGATCAAATCTGGATTACTTGTAGTTTATCTAAATTAGATTAACCGAATGTGTTCAAAGGATTTTCTATGACGAATATTTCTTTATTTGAACCTTGGAGTGAGTAGAATCGCCGTGTATCACCAAAGTTGTCCCTGGAGTTGTAAAGTTTTCAGCTAAGGTGAACAGATTAAAATATGTGTTAAAGCTCTACAATTCCCAGCTGTCCAGAGCTTGGAAAAAATCCCCCAAAACAACAATAACAACAACAAACAAACCAACACAGAGGAAAAAAAAAAGGAAACACAAAAAGCTATACCAAAGTACAAACTCCTGACTATGAAATAAAAAAATATATGGATATTCTGTGTGAAATATTAGCATAACTGTGAATGTATGTGAGTCACACAAAGTGTTCTTTGTAGCATTTTGTACAAACAAGAAGTGAAATTCATCAGAAAGGAG